TACTGATTTTGAAAACATAAAATCAATCTTAAAATACCAAACTCAATTTATCATCCAATAGGAGGGAAGTACGATAACGAGGCTCTTGATGGCTATGACGTATGGGATGCAATATCCAATGGAAAGCCTTCGCCGAGAGTAGAGCTTCTTCATAACATAGATGCCAGGCCATCRCCCGACAGTCAAGGCGAGCTGGGGTTTGGGTACCAGGGTATAGGACTACGTAATGGAGACATGAAACTCTTGATGGGAGTTCCGAACATATCGTACTTCATCCCACCTGAGGACAGACAGTCGCCWTTGTCACRTGATACTGGGGTTTGTATATGCTTTTGTAGTATTGTTAACYAGTCTACATAAAGCCACCCTTTGAAAACTTKAAAGCACATARATTTTAAATTACARATTGTTTGTCTAACAGGGAGTTGCCCAGGATTACGTCCAAGTGGCTTTGTATAACATCACCGCTGACCCGTACGAGAAGAACGACCTCAAAGACAAATACCCTGAAATTGTCAAACAGTTACAAGATCGAGTCGAATATTATCGCAAGACTGCAATGCCACCGGCTAATAAGCCCAACGACCCACAGGCCAGGATAACTGCTAAAGAAAACGGAGCATGGACGCCTTGGACATAGACCAGTCACCAATAGAGCGGATTTCGTTTGACTGCAACGGAGTGAATCATGGACGCCACGGACACGCCACGCTTACTGCACGGAAGTGACGTGTTTTTTTGCACAGTCATACGAAATCCCCTCTAATCTCTRTCGATGGTTGGAATCGCCGTGTGTAAGCAAGAGAAAAAAACGAAACTAATAGGAAAGAAAAAAACACTCACGGGATCTTTTTAACTTTTATAACTTGKTCGKYATAATGATAATTTTATTGGTCTAACTACCAAAAATCTAGAAAAAATCGCATTGAATTTTTAAGTTTGGTAACTAWAAAGCCAGAAATTCACAAACTCAGCGTATCTAATAAAATATTTTAACAATATATCTCTGTGTTCATCAAAATACTTGGGCCAAAGAGCAATGGAAGATTCTCATCGTTTACAATGATGATGCATCATGATATCATCACCGGCATCATGATAGATATAGATTTAGAGACAAATGCATGGTGAGAGTATTTTCAATAGCCAAATAGTGAATGTTTCAGTGTGATGATTTACCGTGAATACAACATACAACTGTCTTAATATAGCAATTTTGAGTCAGTCCCTGCAAGTGTAGTTTCCGTAGTGTAGTGGTTATCACGTGTGCTTTACACGCACAAGGTCCTCGGTTCGAGCCCGAGCGGAAACAGTTAATTGTTTGTTTTTTTTGAAAAGCGATTACAGATTTTGTTTAGGTGTACACTTAATTACGAAAATGTTGTCCTGAATTAGGAATACATTAAAAGACAGAAGATGACTACTGAAKCTTRATTAWTGGCAAAAATAGTTCTTTTTCTTGGACAACGTTTGAGTCGCAATTAGGTGAATATTCAGAGAATTACTGTAATATTCAACTCCATCATGGTTAAGAGCAAGAAGCTGCCCGGTTAGCTCAGTCGGTAGAGCATCAGACTTTTAATCTGAGGGTCGTGGGTTCAAGTCCCACATCGGGCGTTGCTTATACTTTTGCAAAAATATTGCATATTTTGCAGGTTTCWATTTTTCACTTCARAGTAACAAAAGCAACAAAAAGACACTGGGGAATGTTTCACTGTGTTATTGCTAATTCCTGTGTTAATAACGTTATGTTTTCCGTCTACTGTCTCAAGTCAATATGGACATTGTTGTCACTGCTAAAATTAACAATAATGGGGTAAAAAGTCTAGGCCATGTTTTATTTTTCTATCTGATGTTTCCGTTGAGTGGTTATGTGTGCTTTACACGCACAAGGTCCTCGGTTCGAACCCGAGCGGAAACAGTTAGCAATAAGATTTTGAAAAGCGGTAAGAGATTTTGTTAGAGTTTTGATGTTTGTCCAGGTATTACGTCGACGTATTTATATCCGCTGGATGTATTGATCCTTATATTAAAGACCTGCGCGCATCTGTCAATCTTTGCAACAGTTTGATGAAAGTTGCTTTCTGATTGGTTCAAATTTAAATATGTCGAATTTTGGTAAGAAAATCGCGCAAAGGCTCATGGATGCACATTGGCCTTTAATTGCGGCTTTTGCTTCCTGAAAATCACTGCAATAATCAACTTCATCATGGTTAGGACTGCAAACAATTTTATCTGACATCCCGAAGCTGCCCGGTTAGCTCAGTCGGTAGAGCATCAGACTTTTAATCTGAGGGTCGTGGGTTCAAGTCCCACATTGGGCGTTGCTTACTCTTTTGCAAAAGATATTGTATGTTTTGAGTCAAATCCCACGTTGTGAGCTGGCGATCAATTTTTCAAACACTGAGTTTTGGAGTCATCCTAGTTTTTGCTAAACATTTTCTAATAAGATATCCGATGAGCTGTTTTGTCATCCTCAGACCAAACTAGCTGTGGACAGTGTTTTGTGACAAAATTGTTCTTATTTCAGTTCCTCATTGAAGTGCTCATCATATATTGTGCTCCGTTAATAAGGTTAGACTTCCAGAAAATAGAAATATGTTATGGGATGTTTCCGTAGTGTAGCGGTTATCACGTGTGCTTCACACGCGCAAGGTCCTCGGTTCGAACCCGAGCGGAAACATTTTCAATATTTATTTGCAAACCAAATAAAATTTTGTAACATATAGATTTTCAAGGTCTTTTTTCTTTATTTTTTAGATTCCATGAATTGTATATTGTATTTTCATGTCTTTGGTTAACATGGACTTCATTGAAGATCATTGTTATCTCCTCCAGAAGTCATGACGCGCGGCCACAAAGCAGTCAGTTGCCGGGAAAGTGGGAATATCTTATTCAAAAACCATTACCCTTCAATTAAAGTTTGTAAAATTTATTTCAGCACATCCACAAAAAACACACATAAGTATGTCATGTGAATTCACACAACATACAGTACCTATATACACAACATTTGTTTAAATCAATTCTTTTTCTTTGGGTTTCGTTTGTTCATATACTTCTGCAAGACTTCTACGCATCTTGGCCGATGGTCTAATACCTGGAAAATAACAAAAAACGCAGTATGGATTAAATGATTATATCTCCCTTATATCTCATAGAAAATATGCGACTTTGTGGCTTACCTTAACCATTCCTTTTCTGATATCAGCTAGTTGTTCAGCTACAAGTTGAGATCTTTGGATATTACCCTATAAACAAAGGTTTTATCATAATATATCACACAAATTCTAGCCAAACGACAATTTACATCAAACACGAGAAAAGAACTGTCTAATGTGTGTCCAACGCGCTATAGGCTCCCGATTCAACATCATAAAACAATGTACTCAAAGATAAAGGAGTCAAAATTTACCTGGACAAGTTCATCAAGCATTATCAGTTCGTCATGATACTTGTTTTTTTGGCCTGGTCTTGGCTTCGGTAAATTTTCGCGAAATTCAAAGAGTTTTTGAAGGACTTGCTGTTCCACCGAACTCAAATCGTCCATTTGTGCAGCCACGTGGTGGACACGCCAGCCACTGACACGGTGGAGAATGCCTTTCTGATTGGCAATGTCTTGGACAGTTGGCTTACGTTCCTCTAGAGAATGGATGATATTATTATTAACAACAATAACGACAACACCACCAACAATAACAGCAACTACATCTACTTTACAATAACTACAACTACAACACCAACAATAACAGCAACAACTACATCTACTTTACAACAGCTGCAACTACAACAATAACAACTACAGCACCAACAATAACAATGACAGCAACAACTACATCTTCTTCACAACAACTACAAATACAATAAAAACTACAGCACCAACAATAACAGCAACTACATCTACTTTACAACAACTACAACTACAACACCAACAACGACAATAACAGCAACAACTACATCTACTTTACAACAACTACAACAATAACAACTACAGCACCAACAATAACAGAAGCTGTATTTTTACTCTACAACAACTACCACAGCAGCATCAACAAAACCGGGTTACAACACTTCAACATTTTCAGAAAATTTCCATTTACAAGTTCATTGATTACCTTTGATTCTCACATCGGAATATTTGAGGAAGTGATTGTGGGCCGCCTTTGTGTTCATTTTATAGCCGCCAAATATGGAAATCTTTGGACGTTTGCGAAGAATAAACTTTAAGTCATCATCTGTTGAGCAAAAATTTCAGTATTGACTTACAACAACGATGATAGGCCAAGCCGTTATGGTAACTGGTAGCAAAGATAGAGTACCAACATTAAATGTGTGCAACACTTTCCACTATTTACTACAAAATAGTGTTAATTAAACAATAGAAAACACTAGAATTAGCATAATTTAGCAGTATTTAGTGGTATTTATGTTACACAGTTTTAGTGTTTGTACTCTA